TCTTTTCCTAAGGTTTGGAATTTTTGTGTTATTATTTCATTGAAAAGGTTGTGCATTATTTTAGTTTGCATTCTAATCATGGTCTTTTAATATTTTTTCTTTATTCTTGATTTTATTTTCAAGATTGTGTATTTTGTTTTCAAGGCCTTCTGTATAGTGTAATTTATTGGTGATGCTTTCAATTGAATTTCAGTTTGATTTATTGAGTCTTTCATTTCCAGGGTTTTCATTTGGTTCTTATCAGAGTCTTTATTGCTTGTTGAAACAATCTTTTACTTCCTGTATTTTGAAAGTTCATTTCTTTTTTTCAGAGAGAGAGAGAGAGAGAGAGAGAGAGAGAATATCTTTTTTTTTTTTTTTTTGTAGATGGACACAACACAACACAATACCTTTATTATGTGGTGCTGAGAATCCAACCCGGTCCCTCCTGTGCTAGGCAAGCGCTCTACCGCTGAGCCACAATCCCAGCCCCAAAAGTTCATTTCTTACAGCTTTTTTTTAGCTCATAGATTGTTTTAACTATGAATTTTCTAAATTCTTCCTTTAATATTTTCTCCATTGTTGTTTCAATAGGATCAGTTGTTGAAGTGCTGTGGGTTGCTTGGGGTAATTTGTTATCTTGCTTTTCCTTCTGTTTGTATGTCTTCCTGTCTATTGGGATTATTATCACCCTTCTTTTATACAAGGTACTATTTAGTTTGCTTCTTTCTTTTAAGAGCCCCAGGTGGGTGAATATCTGATTATTGATAGTTGCACTCAATGTGAGTATTATGCTGCTCCCAGTATCAGCATCACTTTGACAGAAGAAATAGTAAACCATATTTACTACTATCACTTCAGAGTAAAGTCATGTATTAACCTTAGGAAAAACAAAAACTTTTTATAGTGTTATCCACAGCTCCTGTAATTTAGGTATAAACTTGTAGTAATGTTCTTTGAGGTTCTCTAGAGATAGCCCTTCTCATGCAAATTCAGGGTTGTGCTTTCTAAGTAAGTTTGTGTTCTACCATCTTAAGAACTTTCCATCACTTTGGATGAGGGTGTGGCTGAGTAATAGAGCCACATACTTGCCCAGTATTCTCCAGGCTTAGGGTTGGATGCCTAGCACACAAGAAAAATAAAGAAAAAAAAAAGGAAAAGAATATTACATTCTTTCAAGCCTGGGAGGAGGGGATAAACATTACATTCTAGTGGGAGATGTCTTCTCATTTAAGTATTTTAAAATGTTTTTTGATGGGGTTTTGTAGATTTAAAAGTAGAAATGTTATACTTCATTAAATTTATTCCTAGGTATTTCATTTGGTTCTTATTGATGTTGTTATTGTTGTTGTTATTAGTGAGGGGGAACTAGGGATTGAACTCCTGTGTGCTTTACAACTGAGCTACATTCTGAGCCCTTTTAAGTTTTTGTTCTGAGAAAGGATCTTGCTAAGGTGCTTAGGACCCTGCTACATTGTTTTCATTTTCAGTTGTTCTTTACTAGTGTGTAAAGATAATTGATTTTTATACTGATCTTATATCCTACAACCTTGTTTAAGTTGTTTATTAGCTCTCTTTTTTGTTTGTGGATTTCTTAGGATTTTATATACAAAGTCATGTTATCTGCAAGTAAAGATGGTTTTACTTTTCCTTTTTGTTTCTTTCTGGACTAATTGTTCTAGTTAGAATATCCAGTACCATGTAGCAGAAGCTGACATCTTTGTCTTGTTCCTATACTCAATAAAATAGCTTCCAGGCTTTCATTATTAAATATGTTTCTAGCTGTAGAGTTTTATACTCTTTATCAAGTTGAAGAAGTCCCCTTCAATTCTTAGTTTGTTGTGTTTTTATCATAAGGAATCAGGATTTTGTCAAGCCATTTTTCTGTGTCTGTTGAACATATATGAATGTTTTTTTGACATTTATTCTGTCAATATATTTAGTTGAATTTTCATGTTGAACCAACCCTGAATTTTCATCATCTTTTACACTGATGACTCATTTAGTATTCTCTGACTTGATAAATTCTACTCCAAACCATACAGATGTGCAAACCAGATACCCAAGAGTCTTTTTCCACTTCTTTATTTCCCTAATAATGATTTCATTTTAATACCCACCTCACTTTTCTCCTGCAGTTCCTCTACACTGATATTGGGAGTAATTTTTTTCATCTAAAGGTGAATCTGATATTCTGTTTTCTACTTATAGAAAAATATATCAAGTAGGAATTTATTTTTGTTTCCTGCCTTCTGCTATTGTCATAAATCCTACCCATTGTTAGATCTTTGTCTTTTCTTTCTTTCTTTCTTTTTTTTTTTGTAGTACTAGGAATTGAACCCAGGGGCACTCTACCACTAAGCTATATATCCAGCCTATTTTATTATTTCTCTATTTTTGTGGTTTTGTTATTGCATTATGTTTTTGTTATACATGATAGTGGAGTTCATTTTGACATAATCATAAATATATTTAACACTTTGCTCATTCTCAATCTTCAGTACTTCCCCTTTCCCTCCTCTCTTCCCCCTTCCTGATCCTTCTTCCCTGTTCTACTGCTCTTCCATTTATTTTAAAATTGGTACGTTATCATTATACATAAATGTGGAATTTATTGTGATGCATTCATACATGCATAATTTGGCCAAATTCATTATGATATCTCTTCATCCACTCTCCCTTCCCCTTGATCCCCTTTCTCTATTCCACTGGTCTCCTTTTTATTTTCATTATTTCCACCCCCAACCCCCACTTTATTACTCATTTCTGTCTAGCTTCCTCAAATGAGAAAAAACACCTGGCACTTTACTTTCTGAGTCTGGTGTATTTCACTTAGGTTGATGTTCTCATGTTCCCTCCATTTATCAGTTAATGATGTAATCTCCTTCTTTGTGGCTGAGTAAAACTCCATTGCATACACATGTATTCATCTGTTGATGGTCAATAGAACTAGTTACATAATTTGGCTATTGTGAATTTTGCATATGTAAAGATTTGTATGCATACATCACTATGGTATGCTAATTTTAGTTATTTTGAATAAATACCAAGGAGTGGTCTATTAGTGCCGCAGTCTGGCTGGGCACAATTCAGGAGCCACTTGTCAAAAGAAACGAACTTTATTTTTAGAACCACACAAGCCAAACAAAACAGCTCCTCAGGAAAACCTTCAGAGCCCAACTGCCACCACCGGCTTCCCACAAGCCTCTCAACCTCCCCCACTCCTCCTGCTCTTGAGGCCGATTGGCTGGGTCGTGTGGGCGGAGCCAAAAAAGTCCCCCAATGAGCAGCTCCGTGGTCTGAAAGGGCGGGGAAACAGCCCAATGAGCATCACCGTAGAGGAGCCAGTCAGTTGGCAGCTGGAAGTTGCTGGGGCTGCTGTGAGCCAATCATCAGCTGGCAGCTGGAAGTTTGCTGGGGCCCTTTCGGCTGTGGCTCTCAACATATCAGGGTCATTTGGTGGTTCCATTCCTAGCCTTTTAAAGTATCTCCATACTGCTTTCCAAAGTGGTTGTGCTAATTTGAAGTCCCACCAAAAATACATACGTGTACCCTCCCACCCCCACATCCTTGCTAGCAGTTATTGTTATTTGTATTTTTAAAAAATATTTTTTTAGTTGTAGTTGGACACAATATCTTTATTTATTTACTTTTTTATGTGGTACTGAGGATTGAACTCAGGGGGCACATGCGGGGCTAGCGCTTTATTTAAACCACAATGCAAAGGAAAGACCACTGACTCCAATTTTAAATCACATTATTAAAGCAAGCTTGTAATTCTGGCCAGGACTGTCTCTCTTGAAAACCCTGGGCTAGAGAATAGTACCCCAGCTCTCTAGGATCATAGTTTTCTGGCACAAAAAGTTGCAAAGGGTGGTGTCTTGAGAACTCACAGGTAACAGTATTTTGATAAGCATAATACAAAGGCAGATAGTAGGTTAATGATCTCCATGGCTTAACATTTTAAGGTAGGGAATAAATTTAAATCCCAACATCATAATGTATGAGGCGCCACTGAGGTTTCAGAGAGGGTTGTTATCTGGTCAGGGAAAGCTAGGCATGGGTGAGTTCAAGGCATGGGCAGGAATTCCAAACAAGTTTAGAAATTGCAGTAATTTATAGTAAAACAGAAATTCACTTTTCATGACTTTGTGATGAGATGGCTCCCAATCTTAAGGTGGAATTAGGATTGGTTCATCATTCTAAGCTGAGCCACAACCCCAGCCCCTGTTCTTTGGATTTTTGATAATTGCCATTCTTACTAGAATGAGATGAAATCTCAGTATAGTTTTTGATTTGCATTTCCCTGATTGCCAAGGATGGTGAACATTTTTTCATGTTGGCCATTTGTATTTCTTCTTTTGAGAAGTGTCTGTTCAGTTCATTTGTTCATTTATTGATTGGGTTATAGGGTCTTGCTGAAGCTCGCCTTGAATTTATTCTCCTGTCTCAGCCTCCAGAGTAGCTGGGATCAAAGGCATGTGCCACTATGCCTGGCCGATCTTCTTATTATTTTTAAAGACTCATAGATTACTTTCTGTGAATTATGGGTGAACTATCTATATCTTACAGTGGGATTTGTAATTTATGAAGAGTGCTACTGAATGCAGTTTTTGGACCTTAAGATTTGCTCCAATATTATCCAACAAAAGGAATGGCAAAATGAAGTGAGGTTTAAGAACAGATGAATACCAAGTAGCTAAATGGCAAATGGTAGTGTTGCTACTAATTTGTTGCCATTGTTTAGTTCATCCCTTGGGAGAGTGCTTTTCTTGAAGTTTATACATGCCATATTATATTATAAGAATGAAAAATATAGTTTATCATTAACTGTCAAATATGTATTATTGAAGTAATAATGGCATAATTTTTACAGAAGTTATTTATTTTAAATCCAAATTATTTAAAATGAATACTATCTAATGTTCACATTGATATATATGAATATTATATATACCAAATACTACAAAATCTCTTTTAAGCGTTTTTATTGACTTATATATTAATTCTTTATTTTGCAGTCTTGCATTGCATCCTGAACGAGTATTGGTAGCAACAGGACAAGTTGGGAAAGAGCCTTATATCTGTGTTTGGGATTCATACACTGTGCAGACCATATCAGTTCTAAAGGATGTTCATACACATGGTATAGCTTGCTTAGCATTTGACTTAGATGGACAGGTATGTGTTAATTTTTTCCCTTTTTCTAAATTACGTTTTAAAATGTATACTACAAATATGATATGTACTGTTTATGAATTGTGAATATTACAATAAATATTAAATGGAAAAGCAATTGATGAGAAGTATTTGTTTATCTTGGTGGAGATGTAGATGGAGTGGATAGACTTATGTAAGAAAAATAAAGACAAAAACAGACTTATCATATGAAGAGCTTTCTCAGTCAAATTAATTATTACCTTGAAATCCAAAGAGATTCTAATTCAGTGGAATAACAGTTGTTATAGAAGATTTTAGATATAGCTCTTTTTCGAGCTGGGTATTTTGATAGGATAAATGCAAGATGTTTTGGGAAAATTAAGTTTCTCTAAGTAGTGATATACGTATTTTAATTTTCAGTTACTTTAAGGTTATCTTTATAATTGCATTTTGATTGAAAATAATGAGACAATTGTTTTTATATAAAATCGGAGTTCAAAAGAAAGGATGCAGTTACCACTATACTGCCTAGTTTTTTTTTTTCCAAATTGTTCTCTACTTCCAGTCAGTGATTTTTTAAAGTTAAACAAGTCAAGGGCTTTTTTGTGTGTGATGCTGTGTAGAAGTTATTACACCTAAAACATTTGAAACATGGTAGGAAGCAGATTTTTCAGATGTGGTTAATTTATAATCTTTGAAAGTTTTAGGTTAAAATTGGACTTTAAAATCATTTTAACTTTTAGAAAAATTTTAGTTACACAGTTTTTATTCATAAAATTAGTTTTTATGAATCATTTAAGATTACTTTAAATCTAGATTTTTACAAAAACAGATTGTAGTGTGTTCTTTCCCCCTTAGAAAAAATATCCAGTAGATATTTCATATATTACTCAGAGGAATAGCTTGATTTGCATAGATTAATATGACTTTCTGATAATCTGGTAAGGGATCTATAAAGACTTACCTGGAACCTGTTATTGGGGAAGAGTATATTTCTGGGTTTAATGTTGCTATATAGTAGTGTTTAGCAATTCCAGAAACTTAATTATGTCCCATTTTTGCTGTTGTCTTTCAAGTCCCTTAATCTCCTCATCAGAGTTTCATTTTTTAAAAGAAAAGAGAATAATACTTATTCTTTCCTACTTCACTGGAGTATAAAATATTATGAAGCAAATCTACAAAGTGATTTTTAAAAATTATTTATCATTTAAGGTATTATGAAATTCAAGATATTTTAACTATAAGCATCTGCGTACTTTAAGTGTAAAGGTTTTCTTCTTAATTTAAAATTGCCCTTTAAAATGTAATATATTGCATTGCTGAGGAAATCCAACGAGAAATCACTTCCACAACTTTTACTAGTTGAAGGCCTTTAATTTTGCTTATTTGAGCAACTTACAAGAAAATCTTGGATGTATGTTTTTTTATCATCGTAGATATTCATAAGAACATGTTACTAAAATTTTAAGCTTATAAAAACACAAGAAGATGTGGAGCACATATTAAGTGCCAGGCATTTTGCTAGGCCTGCATTATCTCATTTAATCTTCATAACAACCCCATGAAATAGATACTGTTATTATCTCTATTTTACAGATAAAGAAACTGAGACTTAGAGAGGTTAAATAACTTGTCCCAGGTTACACAGCTAGTAAATGGAGCCAGAGCGGGAACCCAGGTCAGTCATATTCCAAAGCTCATGTTTTTAACAGGAATGCTCTACTGCCTCCCAAACATGGAACGCAGGAGGTGGTTACTTATATTTCAAATAGAATTCATCCATTTTAAGTATAGTCAAAGCTAAAATGTAAGGAAATGCTGCCAAATAAAGATTAAGAAATTATGTTAATACTTTAACTTGAAAAATATTTGAGCAAACATATCTGTTTATATCTATAAACTGTTTATGGGATACCAAGTAGGGAATGTTGTCTAAATTTTGCATTTTCTGCTAGATTGAAACCATAAGTGATCATTTAGGATTTATCCAGTCAGTAAGTTTCCTAGTTGGTGGTAATGCTGAGTGTTCTTTTCCTAGGGGCTTTCTTCTAAATAAATTGAATATCCACATTAATACTGGCTGTCTGCCTCATTGAGGATAATTAGGGCCTCAAAAGGCTTTTTATATGTATCTCATTCAGAGTACGTGGGAGAAGAAGTAGGAGGATGAGAAATTGAACTGATTTTTTTATCTTGAATGTATCACCATAATTCATAAGAACACATTTCTCATATTTAGCCACATATACGTTATAGTTACAACTCTGCTAGTTTATAGAATTAACTGAGAATAAAGTCATTTTTAACCAAAATTGTGTTAATTATAGTCTGGTACAAAATAAAATGCTTTGGCTTATCTTTGACTTTTAGTACATAAAGTGAACCATTTTTGCAAAATTAATGTATACATGGGAAAGGGATCATGACTTTTTTCCCATGGGCCTTTTGTTAATCTCTTGTTATGTAGACATATCTCAAGTGCATAGTCTATTATTCTTGAATTTTTTCTTCTATTGTCCTGCCAGGTCCTAACTTCTAATGGCCTTAAATATGATTTGGCCAGTATTTGCTACAATAAACTTTGTATTATCTGTAAAATTTATAATTTCATTCTGTAACACTAAAATGTTTAATTCTTATAAACATAGATAGGAAGGCCTTCCATAGAAGAATCAAAAGTTCAGTTGTCTATTAATTTGAATTTATTTCACAGTTGTATTGTAGGATGCTTCTTCTTACTTGAGTGTTTGGTGTACTGCTTCAAATTCAATTAAAGGGCACAAATAAGATTTTTTTTGGGATAGGATCATGGAGGAATTTGGGAAATGGGGTAGATTACTTCTTAGTTATTTTTTAAAGAGCCTTTCCTTCTGTCTCAGAAGAACATGAAGGAACATGTCAGTGTTCTTCAGAAATCTGTAGCCTGCCCATACTATCATTTATTTTCCCTTAATGATTATATGAACCCATGACTTTAATTTTCATACCAATCAACAGTGGCTCTTGCTTCTCTCAACTCTGAATAGTCCCCTTGATTATATTCCCCTATAGAATTTATAGTATTCTATAGAATTTATAGCCCCCTGTAAATATTTTATATTATACATTTAAACTTGTCTCTTCATTTTAACTCTAAAAAAATGACAATAAAGCCTAGCTACCAATATACCTCTCTAGACTTGTCTCTTGCCACTTCCCTATTGATATTCCTTTCCTCAGTTACATTGAATTACTGGCCTTTTTTAAAAAATTGGTTCTCTTTAGTTATACATGACAGTAAAATTCATTTTTACATAATTATACCAGAACGGAACATATCTTATTCTAATTAGGACCCCTTCTGTGGATGTACATGATGGTGGGGTTCACTGTAGTGTTTTCATATATGTACACAGGAAAATTATGTCAGATTCATTTCACTGTCTTTCCTTTTCCTATTCCCCTTCCCTTCTCTCTTTTGAAAGCACTAGGATCTTAAGGTCTCGGTTCCTTGGTCTTTTCTACCTGTCTTTTACTTTATCTTTGAAGATGTGGGTTGTGTTACTTTTTCTGGAAAACTTTCTTCAACCTCTTTGTTACCTACCTAAACTAGATTAAATGTGAGAAAAGATGATAAGTTAGAAATGTATAGAAAGCTAGAAGAGGAGGTGGTATTTGCTTTGTTGTTTCTACCCCTTCTTGTTTGTTGTTGCTTGACTTATGCTTAGGGAGTTTGATTTTGGTTGTGATGTTTGTCAAAGCCACAGAAGAAGAACTCCCAGGCTTAGTTTGTTATTGCCTGTACAGAGTTAGATTGGATGTGGGTGTGCAAATGCACCTGCTGAGGATCAAACCCATGCTAGGCAAATGCTTTATCACTGAGCCACATCCTTATCCCTAAAGCTCTATTTGGATACATGAAGTTTTCAGAGTTTTTGGTTTCTATGTGTGTATGATGAGCTGAGCCAGAGAAAAGAGGCATGAATAAAAAGGACTATTTCTCACTTTATGTTTGTCTGGTGAAAGTTTATTCTTTACACACTATGCTATAGCAATAAGTAGATACCTTTGTTTTAGCTAGATATTTTCTGATACTCTCTGGTTCTGAATATTAGAGTCCTCTGATGAGCAACATATTCTCTCATTCTCTGTAATTTCTCCTAGCTTGATTTGATGGAGAGTCATGACAAACTGTATTCTATACTCCTTTTGTGTGATTTATTTTTTCTGCCCATTTGATTTAAACAGTAATTCTACTTTGCAGAAGCTGTTTCTAACTGGATACTAGATGGCATTTCTCATTTGGACAGGTAGAGTTGATAGGTTCTTAAACTTATTATGATTATGGTAAATTACTGGTGATAATGATTATGAACACTTAACATTAACCAGAAGTCGGGCATTTTTCTAAGTTCTTTATGTATAATATTTTTCATATTATCCTATGAGGTACTTTTATTATCCGCATTTAATGAGTAAGAAAAGTAAAGTAGAGAAAGGCTAGATAACTGCCCAAAGTCACCCAAGTAGTAAGGCATGATGCTCAAACCTAGATAGTCTGCTACTAGAATCTACATTTTAAACCACAGTTTGGTAAATTTTTTATAACAATTCAGATAGGAAATATTTTAAGCTTTGTGAGCCATATGGTCTCTGTTGTAGCTATTCAACTCTGCATTGTAGTGTGAAAGCAATCATAGACAATCTGTGCAAGAATGAATGTGGCTGTATTTCAGTAAAACATGACTTACAAAAATAGGGTATAGGCAGGATTTGGCCTGAGGATATATTGTTAACCCCTGCTCTAAAGCACTAATTTTCAAAATATATGTTTTGTGTTATTCTTTAGATTTTTTCTGTGATTTATTCTTTGGTCCTTCAGTAACTTAGAAGTATATCGTGTAGTTTTCAAATATTTGGGGAATTTTCTAAGTAACTTTCTGTTGTTGTTACTTAATTCTGTTATTGTCAGGGAATATACTCTATATTTTAATTTTATCTAATTTGTGGATACTTTGTTATCCAAAATTTTGTAATCTTCATGAAATTTTATGTGTACTTAGAAAGGACATAGAAAAGCATATTCTGCTTTTTCTTTATTTACTCCTGTTGATTGTGCTATTATTGTCTTTAATTTTACTTTTTGCATATTTTGCAAAACACATAGTAACTATTGTCATTTTTGCCTTAACCCATTTCAAAAGAAATTTTGAAATGAGAAAAGTATTATTTACATATTTACCTTTGGAGGACTTTTATATGTGTAAATCAAATTTGTATTTGGTATCATTTTTCTTCTGCCTGAAAAAAACTTCCTTTATCATTTTCTCAAGTTCTGATTTGCTAATAATGAATTTCCTCAGGTTTTTCTTTTTTTTTTCTTTTTAGAGACTGAGTCTTGCTATATTGATCAGACTTGCATAAAACTTCTTAAGAGATCCTCCTTAGCTTCTGAGTAGATGGGATTGTAGGCCCACATGCCAGCTTCTCAGCTTTTGTTTACTTAAAGAATATTTTGACTCAGTTTCCAAAAGATAATTTTGCTAATTTTCTGTTGATTTATTTTTACCCCTCAGCATTTTATCTGTTTATTTATTTGTTTGTTTGTGGTGCTGGAGATTGAACCCAGAGCCTGTGTATGCGAGGCAAGCACTCTACCAACTGAGGTATATCCCCAGCCCTACCCCTCAGCATTTTAAAGAATTTGTCTATTGTCTTCTGACTTGCATCATTTCAGATGAGAAGACTAGGATCATTTTTTAATCTTTGTTTTTCAAATCAAACTCTCTTATTTTCTGTCTGCTTTTAAGATTTTTTCTTTAGTTCTGATCTCAGAATATGCTTACCATGTGTCTTAATACATATATTTTGCCTGTGTTAATAATTAAGCTGGTTGGGATTTGTTCAGCATCTTTTATTTGTAGATTTAGGGTTCTCATCAAATTCAGAGCTTTTGGCTATTATTTTTTCAGTTTTTTTTCTTTTTTCCCTCTCCTTTTGGAACCACAATTACGTGTATGTGAGACATTTGATATTTTCCTAAAGGTAATTGAGGCTCTATAAATTATTTTTTCCTTTTTCTTTCTTGGCTTTATTTTAGAAGATTTCTATTACTATGTAATTTAAGTTCATTTTTCTTTTCACCATTGTCTAAGCTGCTATTAATTCTTCAGAGTGAATTTTCATTTCAGATGATGCAGCACTTAGTTTTTATAATTCCTGGTTCTGGTTCTGTTGGCTGATTTCTTTCCTCCTGGTGATTGGTCATATTTCCTTATTTCTTCGAATGCTAGTAATTTTTTTATTATATTCTGGTCATTGCGTATGTTACATCTTAAATGCTGTGCTTTATTTATTTATTTTTTAAAGCTGTTGATGGACCTTTATTTTATTTATTTTCTTTTTTTTACATGGAGTGCTGAGAATTAAATCCACTGCCTCACACATGCTAGGCAAGCACTGTACCAATGAACCACAACCCCAGCCCCAAAAGTTGTGTTTTATTGTATCCCTTTAAGACATATGAGCATGGTTCTGGTAGGAAATTAAATTTCTTCTGTATCAGTTTAGTTCTTGTGAAAAGCTTGTTTTTGGAGGAAGCAGGCAGAGCTAGAATAGCTTTTCTTCTAGGACTAAACTTCACTTGAAGTGTCACCCTCCTGGAGTCTAATGAATACTCATGAATTCAGAGATATATTTTCATTCTAGCTGTTGGGAATTTGAGTGATTTCTGATCTTTTGGGATTTCAGAATTGTTTTGGTTTTAGTTCCCCATTGATCTTTCTCTAGAATTTCTTCTGTATGTGGTCTTGTGGAATGTATCCTATGCATGCAGAGAATGGTGTTTTCAGATCTCACTTACAGACAGAGTTTCTGGAGCTCTTTCTCTGCACTGCAAATTTTAGTTATCTTGGCTTCTCTGAACTCCAGGCTGTGCCTTTAAATCAGCAAATATACTGAGTTCTGTTGGATTCTACCTTTATGTGCTCTGAAAATTGCCTCCCAAGTGAAAGCTGAGGCAACTGTAGGACTCTCCTTGTTTTCCCCCTTTCCAATCATGCACAGTGCTTTACTTCCAATTACAAATGTCTGAAAAGATTTCATTTTATATACTTTGAACGGTTTCTAGATGTTTATGGAGGGGAACAAGTTCAGACCCTGATACTCCTGCTTGGCTAGATGTCTTTCATATTTCACATTCTCTCTCATTTTTTTATATTCTCAAGTGCCTTTTTTAGCTTTTTAAAATTATTTTTTTAGATATACATGGCAGTAGAATGTATTTTGACATATTATACATACATGAAGTATAGCTTAGTATAATTAGGAACCCACTCCTGTGGTTGAACATGCTGTGAAGTTTCATTGGTTGTGTATCATATGAACATAGGAAAGTTATGTCTGATTCATTCTACTGTCTTTTCTATTTCCATGCCCTCCTCTCTTCCCTTCATTCTCCTTTGTCTAATCCAGTGAACTTCTGTTCTTCCCTCCTCGCCTTATTGTGTGTTAGCAACCACATATCAGAGAGACAATTAGGCCTTTGGTGTTTGGGGACTGGCTTATTTCACTTAGCATGATAGTCTTCAGTTTCATCCATTTACCGGTAAATGCCATAATTTCATTCTTCTTTATGGATGAGTAATATTTCATTGGGTATACATATCACATTCTCTTTATTCATTCATCTATTGAAGGGCACCTGAGTTCTGTTGGATTCTACCTTTATGTGCTCTGAAAATTTTCATGTCCTTCTAATCTGCTATTCCATTGAGTTTTTAATTTTATGTTTTATTTTTCATTCCTTGAAGTTCATTTGTTTGATCACATTTCCTTGGATGCTTTTCATATTTTCCTAATCTTTGCTCATATGAAGACATTTTGAAGCCTTAATTTAATTTCTCTATTTACATTAAGCTTATTTGATATTGTTTATATGATAATTCCAATATCTGAAGTATATTGAAAGGTTGATCTTGCTGATTGTTTCAGCTCATGATCTCTTATTTCCTTGTGTTTGTGGTGTTGTTTAGTTTATTTTAATTGAATTTCTACCAGTAGGAATTTTTTGAGGGATAGATTGAAAGTTTTACATTTCCTAATACAGAATTTATATTTGCCTATTTCATGTATTGAAGTTGCTCAAAGACACAACCAACCCTTAGGATCACTCTGCATGAAATTTCTCACTTAAGTGATCCATGATTAATGTGAATATAAGTCATACAACAATGTGAAGGCAGCTTTTGGTTACAAATGTTCAGGGAGGTTTTTCTTCCCCTTCTTTCATCACTACCCCTTCTTTAAAAAGGGATAATTTCTCATTGTATGTTCACTGCTTTAGTCAGAGGTCAGTTCAAATTCCCATATTGGTAGGCTCTAGACTTTATCTCCTGTTCTTCTTTGATATGTAGCACAAAAATTGGATACAAGGGTTCATCTGATACCTGTAGAATGGAATAATATAGGTGCTGTATTACCTTTCAGGATTCCCACTGGGGATACCTTTGTTTTGTTTCCAGTTTTCCTAATTCTTTAACTTCTCAGCAGTATATCTAAAATGATTTTATTACATTTTTTCTACTATTTTTAGTTTTTGGCATGAGTTATCTTTAGGATATTTTGTCAAACTGTCTCTTTGTTTCTTGGTATAAAAAAGTATATGTATGTGCAAATATTGAAATGTATTTCCTTTTCTCTATGGGCTCTATGAAATATAGATGTGTAAGGTTTGATGTTTATTAAACCCCTGAGTAGAATTTATTTACCATTTATAATTTGGTGGTTCTTTGATTTGTTTGCCTTTTTTATTCCTTCCTTGACTTCTTGGACATAATCCAGCGCCTGGTTTCAGTTGGACTGGATTCAAAGAATGCAGTTTGTGTTTGGGACTGGAAAAGGGGAAAAATGTTGTCTATGGCTCCCGGTCACACAGATAGAGTAAGTATTCTCCTTTGGAATTTATAATGAGTACTAGACAGGAAAAAGCCAAGAGAGAGTTTAGGGAATTTTATTCTTCTGTTTTGTTATTGCCAGATAGGTCATAGTTCATTGAAAATTTCCAACTCTTAAAAATTATACAGTTGTGGGGGAGGGGAGAAGATGGAAAGAAAAATGGGAATCATTGTATAATTATGGAGGTTCTTTGTTAGGTGATGAAATGTTCTAAAACTGATTGTAGTAAAATTCTGCAAGCATACTGAGAAACATTGGATTGTACACTTTTAATGAGTAAATTTTATAATATGTGAATTAGATCCCAGTAAAGCTGTTTAAAAATAAAAATTTAAATTTAAAAATTTAAAGATTGTACAATTATAAATACCCATAAAATCTTAGAATGCAAATGTATTATAGGACTTGAGTCAATACGTGTGGCATTAAGCACAAAACTTTTAACCCAGTGTTTGCTTCAGTAAAAGCTGTGCATTTTTCTGTTAAAAACCCAGCTTTATTGAGTATAATTGATTTATAAAAGACTTCATATATATAATGTGCACAGTCTGATGAGTCTATACATATGCAAACAACCATTATTGAAGTATCAATTTTAAAATTAAATGAGTTTGTGTCTAGGGTCTCTTTAGTTTCATTTACTAGTAATATATTTCATATGGATTATATAGTTAAGGTGAAAAATATGTTGTTTGTGTAATTATGTGTTAAAATTATGTATGTGTATGGGCTAGGGATGTAGCTTGTGGTAAAGAGCTTGCCTAGAATGTGCAAGACTCTGGGTTCAATCCTCAGCACTGCAAAAATGATAAAGTAAGAAAAATTAAAATATTATTATAAATTTTTAGAACCCTAACCATTTTTTACTTTGGAAACTAGTTAAAATATAGATTCCCTATTCCAAGTTATGTAAGGTTAATATAAGGAATATTTTGTCAGCTTCCTAATTAAATATTACACTGATTCTATAAACGTCAAAAATTCTATAAATTTTTTAAAATCTCTAATTTTGTGAGTGTATGTGTGGTTAAATCCTTGCCTGAAGCAACAACAAGGCATAATCAGTGATTCTGTTTTGAAGAAATCTGAATCTGTAAAAGTTGTGCAGAAAATTTTAAGTACATTTGCATTTTGAATAATATACTTGGTTTTCAGCAAATCTCAAAGGAGCATGTTATATGGTGTCTCTCATTCATACACACACAATTGAGATGATTATTAACATGTTAGATATATTTTATTAGACAACTATGTTTTCTGAGTGACTTAGATCAAAGAATTTCACATAAAACCAGTTTGGATTTAGTAAATAGACTAATTTTAAAAGATTATATTGTCAATGGGATTTTAAAAAGCATTTTGTAGTCCTTTGCATTAATATATTTTTCATGTAATCTATATCATGATGAGTTGTTAAACATTAACTTATGTTCTCTTTCTTCATTATCATTGAAAAGTATTTCTAAAATTTTTTGAGATAGTAAACATTTTAAGTTAGATGATAACAGGAGTCAAAAAACATGGTGAAAACCCTCAGATTGCAGGATAACTGAATTATTTTTCAAATGGTTTTCTTTCATTTATTTCTTAATTATGTGTTTCTAGTATATGTTTTATTTCATCTGAGTTTTTGCTTGTAACAAAATGCTTTGTATGTATTTAAACTTTGTGGGATCTTAGATATGAACAAAGCCTGGAGACCTGCAAATTTTAAGTATATGTAAATTAATTGTATTTGACCCATAAACAGTAAGAAAACTAAAGAATAAAAGTAAATTGCTGTGAAATAAATGTTTAGATCCTTTATGAAAGTAATTCTATGTGATAAAAAGCTATAAAAATATTCCTTATTTCTTATTGTGTAAGTATTAAGTGTGTGTTCCATTCAGAATCTCACCCCTTTAAAAAAATTATGCAGGCACCTGCATAATTTAAGCCATTCTTATTATTTGTGAATAAATTCTTTTTTTTCCCCTAGTACTGTGAATTGAACCTAGGGCTTCACACATGACAGGCAAGCACTCTACCACTGAGCTATATCCCCAGCTCTTTTGTATTTTGTGTTTTGAGATAGTCTCACTAAGTTGCCCAGCTGGCCTCAAACTTTTGATCCTTCTACCTCAGCCTACCCCAAAATTCTTTAAAAAATTTTTTCAAAAAAGGAGTTTTGAATTTTGCTCCAATAGTTGCTTTATAAAATTCATTGAAGCTAATAGTTTTTATTTCTTATCATTTTCATATTTAATTTAGTTCTTATAAGATTTTGAAATGTGGGATTTTTGATCATGATTTATTGAGGCTGCTGTGGTTTCTGATAGGTTTGGGTAGTTTGATCTTTTGGACAGTATTCTTAAATGATTCTGGAAATAAATATTTTAACCATGAATCTGGTTTATTTACAGATATTTGATATTTCTTGGGATTTGTACCAGCCAAATAAACTTGTCAGCTGTGGTGTAAAACATATCAAGGTACTAGAAGGGTCTTATTTTATAATAGTCATGTTTAGTTTTCTACTTTTAAGTATGAATCACATTATTAACAATTTAGGATTCGTTTTAGAATTTTGACAGTACTTTTTTTGAAAATGTCAACTTTTTAATGTTCTTATATTCAATTAATTATTTATTTTGTAATTACTTCTAGTATTCTGAGGGATGTAGGCATGAATAGGTAATTAATGAACCACTCTCCATAAGGCGTTTATAATCTTATGAGGTAAATTTTACAGTATTCTTGTTTCTTCAGATTTCCCTCACAAAGTAAAATGTGAGACTAGGAAACCAAGTGAGCTAAGTTTTTCATTTGCAGGACTAGAGTGGTATGGTAGAAACAACATGGATAGAATTGACTGTCATGTATTAGATGTTTAACCTGGGTGAGTCATTTAACCTCTTTGAGCTCTTTTCCCATCTTGAAACTATAACTGTTTTTACCATCCTCAAAGATTTGATGATTTAAAAGGAAGCATACGTTCAAGTGCTTATAATAGTGCCCAATGAGGGTCTGCTTTCTGAAAGTGTTTTTTCTTTTTCTATGTTTGCTTTCTGATTTGACTTTAGCCTTGATAGCCACTATTTATTTTGCTTATGCAAGCTCTGGGTTTGTTTTGTAATTATAGTTCAGGTTTTGAAGTCCATAGTCAGTGGTGATATTCATTCCTATGTCTATAGCAACTTTTAAATCACCAGTGCAAACTGCAAGTACTTGCTTTTTTTCCACTGTCTTATGTAACAGTTCTTAAAATCAGATAATTTGAAATAAGTAAGAATCTGTGTTCTAACCTTCTTTATGATATGTTCACCTCCATCCATATTTTCTCCAATAAGTCTTTTTTTAATATTTTATTTTTTAGTTGTAAATGGACACAATATCTTTATTTTATTTTTATGTGGTGCTGAGGATTGAACCCAGGGCCTTGCGCGTGCTAGGCGAGTGCTCTACAGCTGAGCCACAACCCCAGCCCTCCAATGAGTCTTTATTGCTGCTATAATTCTGGTTTTAATAATCTGGTAATAACTTGATAGATGGGTAGTATTAAATCTTTATATATTATCAACAAATATTTAACAGCAAAGACTCTATTAGGCTTTAAGGCACATGATGTAAGCACTGTGAGACAAAGACATTTATTTTTGATGAACAAAATGATGTTTAACGAAGTACTTGATATATTTTAACTGCTTAGTAAATGGCAAATTAATTATGAAGAAAAATCTTGCTGCTGTTTTATATTATAAATAAAACTAAAAGATCCATTTTCAGTTTTTTTTTTCTTTTGCAGTTCTGGGGATGGAACCTAGGGCTTCATGCATGCTAACAAATGCTCTACCACTGAGCTACATCCCCAGCCCCACTTTTAGGTTTCTTTTTTAAAAGCTCATCTTTCAAACTAAAACAAACAAACAAACAAAAACTATATTAAGAGGTACTTTTCCTTTTCTTTCTTAGGGACAATGAATAGTTTGTTCTTTTTGTAGATAATATGTGTGAGGAAACTACCTGAGATGACTAAAACTGAACTGGCTAATAGCCACTAGCCACTTGCAGCTATTTAAATAAAATTAAGGCTAAATAAAATTTCAAATTCATCAGTCACACTAGTAGCCACTTTCCAAATGTTCAAGAGTCATGTGTATCTAGTGGTTATTATAATGGAAATCATGTGTACATTACAGAGAGTACTTCCACCATCACTGCAAGTTGTGTTGGATAGTACTGGTCTAGATTCAAGAACAATGGTTCCTAACTCCTGCTGAGCATCAAAAGCATTTGAAAACCTGGATTTTATTCCTCAAAAATTCTGTCTCAATTTGTTGGGGGCCAGGGAAATTATGGGAAAATTTATAATTTCCCCAGTGGATTATAATGTGAAACCGTGGTTAGCAATAACTGATCTTGAAGAAAATAATAGATTCAAAGTGGGACTTGCTAAAAGGAAGAGACCAGCTTTTCTTACAGAAATTATGGCGCTTTTAAATTTAAAAGTCATTAAATTTCAACTCATTAAGGCATCTGTTAGTTGTTTGAATGGAAAAGTATCATAATTTTTAGTTCTTTGAAGTGTCAGGTTTAAAATAGATGTATATAAAATACTAGAAATTATATTATTTGAAGTAGTAATTTACTTTTTGTAAAACTAAGTTTATTCTCTGGGCCTCGTTTCTCTATATAGAACTATTTAATATATACATCCCTGCCTGAACTCATTAAAATTTCTCTTTGCACACTGTGAAAATTTATTAAAATCTACATAATAGAGAAAAAAACCTCTTTTATGAAGATTCATTTTTTACTTCTCTCTCCCAAGGATGACCAAATCTTTCCAAATGAGAATCTATCTTATTTTTAAGCTTTGAAAATACCAATGAGAACAATGTACAATCCCCCCATCTTTGCTGTTTCTATCAGAAATCGAACATTAGATTTGGTCCTTTTTACCATTTGTGTATGATGTCTTATCTTCATTGCTAACTCATTCCCAAAACTTTTAATTCTCTGTTTCATGTTTTTATTCAATATCAAAGGAAAGCAGTAGTATATTTTTAAAATAATCTAGTTCAACCCCTTTCTCTTACAGACAAAGATTGAAACCAGTGACTTACTATTATAACATAGCTTTTGACTCAGTAGGATGAGGATGTGAACATTGAATACTATTGAATCATAAGGCAGTTTCTTAAGTAATTTCTAATCTGCCATTCTAATATAATATTGAAGTATTGGAAGTGTTTTACTTTATATGTAATTTGATTTTACTGTGTGCCTTTTAGTTCTGGAGTTTATGTGGAAATGCTCTGACCCCCAAAAGAGGTGTGTTTGGTAAAACGGGTGACCTTCAGACAATATTGTGCCTAGCCTGTGCTCGGGATGAATTAACATATTCTGGTGCACTCAATGGGGATATATATGTGTGGAAAGGAATCAATCTTATACGAACAATACAAGGAGCCCATACTGTAAGTATAAATATTTTAAACACTTTGAGATGTTAACTACTTTATTGTTTTAAAACCACAGACTGCATAATGTAGCACACTGTTTCTTATCAGTTTCTTGAAAATTTTAACTGAATTAATTTGTCCCCAAGATTTCAAGGAAGAAATATTATGCAGTTTGATTCATGGATATTTATTAAATTAGCATAATTAGTATCCTGCTCAAAGTTATTGATTTAGCAGTGTCTTTCTCAGAGTAGTGTTAAAAAAAAGCTTGTTGACTTTAACCTTAGGGTATTCTAGATTAACTATAAGCACTTATAGTAAAATAAGGCCAGTACTCTTAAAGATAACTTACCAAGAGCAGTACAGGTGTAGAAAAAAAATAACATTGAGGCCTGGGGTTGTGACTCAGAGGTAGAACGCTCTCGCCAAGCATGCGTGAGGCACTGGGTTCGATCCTCAACACCACATAAAAATAAAAAATAAAGTTATTGTGTCCACCTATAACTAAAAAATAAATATTTAAAAAATGATGTTGATTCCTTAAATAAATGTCAAAGGGATTTCATTTTTGTAGCTCTTGAGCTTTTAATTTAAAGTACCAAATAAGAAAAATTCATTGTTAAAACTGAGTGGTTTTTAAAAAAATGTTTTTAGTTGTTGATGGACTTTTATTCATTTATTGATATATGGTACTGAGAATAGAACCCAGTGCCTCATACATGCTATGCAAGCGCTGTACCACTGAGCTACAACCCCAGCCCAAAACTGAGTGTTTTTTGATTTGAGCTTTTTAGCAGTTGGGTTCCTCCTCACAAAGTGAAGGGAGCTAGATAGCACAGAGCTGCCACATTGTTAGCAGTCAGATCTTCAAATAGAAAAGCCCCAAATAAGCTGGATATGGTAGGACACACTACTCAGAAGAATATGGCAGGAGAACCATGGGTTCTAGTCCAGGCTGAGGTACTTAGTGAGACCCTGTCTCCAAATAAAATGTTAAGGCTGGAGATATAGCTGAGTGTGGGAGGCCCTAGGTTCAATCCTTAGTACTGAAAAATGAATAAATAAGCATCCTTGAATCAAATGTATGAAATATGATATGTCAAGAGCTTTGTAATGTTTTGAACAACTAATAATAAAAAAGAATCAAAAAATAAAAAAATAAAAAATAATAATAAATAAATAAGCATCCTAAACATAATAAAGGACTACTTGAAAAGATGTGTGTATTAGCCCGTTTCTGTTTGTGATAAAATATCTTAGAAATTCAACTTAAAGAAGGAAAGGTTTATTTTGGAACATGGTTTCAGAGGTTTCTATCCATGATCACTTGGCTCCATTGATTATGGACCTATGGGGAAGTAGAACACCATGATGTGGAGCACATGGTAGAAAAAAGCTGCTCACCTCATGGAGACTGGGAAAGAGAGAAAGAGAGAGAGACACACACACACACATACACACCGTTTGGTGACCTATTTTCTCCAACTACACTCCACCTTTTACTATTTCCTCTACCTCCCGCAGCACCATCAGCTGAGAACCAAGCCTTTAGCACATGGCCTTTGGGGGAACATTTAAGTTAGGTCCAAAGCATGATAATTTGCTCTAAGTAAAATGCTCAAAACCCAAAAATAGTAGTCTTTTTTCCACAAAAGGCATGGCAACTCACATTCTTACCATCTTACTACCAAATACTAGTTTCCTTCTTGTATTCAATGGCACAGAATGTGACTAGTATTGTAAAATATTATTTATTTTCTAGGTAAAAAATGGTAGATTCTTGTTTGAATTCTGTTGCTGTTTCTGAAATTTCAAATATTTACTGACCACTTTTTTTCCTTTTTTGTTAATTGACTTTTCTCTTTTCATTGTTTGGTTGGTTGTATTTTTGAATCGCTTTTCATTCCTTTATTCATTTGTACATTAGGATTATTTACCTTTTCAGTCAAACATATTGCAAATATTTTCTTAATCTGTCTATCTTTATGATATCTTTCTTCATATGAAAAATTTAAGTTTTTTTAAAGAAATGCTTTTTAAAATATTTTTTAATTGTTGATAGACTTTATTTATTTATATGTGGTACTCAGAATCGAACCCAGTGCCTCACACATGCTAGGCAAGTGCATTACCCCTGAGCCATAGCCCCAGCCCCCCCAAATTTAAATTTTTTTCTTAAAGGCTTGTGAGTGAACTGCCATGCCTAAAAATTATAAATAAAAATGTCTCATAACCCAAAATCATACAAGTGTTGTTGTGACTTTGTGTGTGTGTGTGTGTGTGTGTGTGTGTGCGCGCGTGTGCGTGCGCATACTGGGAATTGAACCCAGGGACACTAAAACACTGAGCCATATCCCAGTTCTTTTTTATTTTTATTTTGAGATAGGGCCTTGCTAAGTTGCTTACAGCATCAATAAGTTGCTAACTCTGGTTTTAAACTTGAGATCCTCCTGCCTCAGCTTACCAAGTTGCTGAGATTACAGGCGCGTGCACTGCGCCTGCTATTCTAACTTTTTCTAAACGTATTTTTTACATTTAGAATTTTCTCCTCTATAATTCATTATAAATGCACTATGAGGTTTAATTAATTTTTTCATTATGTCTGCAAATACCCTCTTAATTATATATTCAGTTTCTAAGGATATATTTCTAGACTTTCTTTTCTATTTTCTGATATTGTTTATTCCTCTATGATACTAAAATATTGCTAGATGGGTTTCTATCTTTATATGATAGATGTTCTTAGGAAGCTTAAATTGTTAAATTACTTTTTCTTCCAGGCAGGAATTTTTAGCATGAATGCTTGTGAAGAAGGGTTTGCTACTGGTGGAAGAGATGGCTGTATTCGTCTTTGGGATTTAACTTTTAAACCAATTACTGTGATTGATCTCAGGGAAACAGACCAGGGATACAAAGGTAATAAAACAAATAAATGTCTCATGATTAGACAAATTTTAAATGTGCCAAAGATTGTCTCTTTTTTTTAATTATCATAAATGTATGTTTTGTAAAAATGAATAAGACTTTCATTTCCTCTTCACAGTGTATACATTTAATTGAAATCCATTGAGGAGAACTTTTGGATTCAATGTTACAACAAAGATTCTTTTGTATATCTCGTATCTATTTTAATAGAACCTGTTAGCACAAAAAGACTGGGACTAACATATACACTTCACAAGTCAGCTCAGTGCTTTATTCAGGAATGAAGTTTCACACAGGAGCAGGGGATGCAGAAACAAAATGATGCTGTGGTGGGACCCACTTTTCTGGTGGATGAGCCCCCGAAAAAAGAAAGGGCCTGGGCTTCTATAGGTTATTCTGAGAGGGTCTAATGAGCATATCAATTTTCTTTGGGCACCCAGGAATTTGGAGTTTGTTCAATCAGTCAGTGAAGGGGTCAATTTTAGTGCTTAGGAATTTGGGGTCTGTTTCATGAGGCAAATGGGAGGAAGTCTAGGGTCAGTGGTCAGTTTCTGGGATTTATTGTATTGGACCTGATGGAGGGCCTGGGGTCAGTGGTTGGTATCTGGAAAGGATTTTTTTACCGAAGGATTAATGCTTTGGCCTCTTCCAAGAGACTGCCTTTCCAGGTATGATGGACACCTCTTCCTCAGGGTTTGTTTTATCACCAGGAAAGATATTGGGAAAGGATCAATGTTCTCAATGTATGGCTTTCCTTCTCACTCCCTTTTTCCCAGGTCTCCCTACTTTGGGGGTTTGTCATTTTCTATATCTAATAAAACCTACAGAGAGATGTGACAGTCATTTACTTTGGTAACATTGGATTTTGAAAATATTTATTATTAAAATGCTATAATAACTATTTAGCAAATAAACTATTGTAGATAAAGTATATTGGGGATTAGGGGAACTTTTATTAAGGGTGATTTAAATGTACATAGATGTGTTTTTTCTTTATCCAGATTTACTTGTCAGCAATTGGTAAACTTTTTTTCTTGCAGGACTTTAAAAAGTTGATGTAATAAGATAGGATTTTTCATTATAAAATTTAACATATTATTTGCCAATGTGGCATTCTACTATAAGACTAAGATTGGAAGTTACACTGATTGGTGTTTAAAAAATACTCCAGTCACTTGGGAGATATGTAACCCTGGGCTAATTATTTAGCATTATCTGTAAATTGATGATAATAAAAATAGCTATCTCATAGTATAAATGAGTTAATATATGAAAATGAAGAATATTTGGTACATGGTAAAGGTGTGAATGTTGACTATTACTCTATTTTCATTAGTTTTACTGAACATTATTGCATTTTGAAGCTTAAAAAATTTGATGCTTTTAAAAATTCTATTCTCGAGTATTATTAAGTACAGAGTGTCTTTATGTTGGCCATATTAAACAGATGAGAAAACTAAGAAAAACTGTTTTCCTAGGGTTAAAAAAGGAATTGTGGAAGATGCAAAAAAAAAAAAAAGCAAAGGTAAAATTCTATCTTCTTAATGAATCCGTTTCTGAGCAGATTGAAGAAATGCAATATAAACAAGAAGTGTTAGATTATTTTTTTTGAAATGCAATACAATTCTATTAAAATAGTTCCTGAGTAATTACTTATCGAATGGTGAAGTTTGTTAGTGCTATAAAACTTTGGCTGAGGAAATAGACTACCTGGAATTGTCTGACAAGGAAAAAGGAAGCCAAGTGTGTGTCTTGTAGGATGGGTGGAAATTAGGTATATAAAAAAGAGAAATATCATTCCATATAGAAAACAATATGGACAATTGAAGAAAGTAAGAGTGTGGATCAAGGGACTCCCATATTTATTTTATCTTGCATCCATGGCATAACAGGTACAAAAATTAATTTTCAATTAGGAATACTGGCATTATATTGTTATAGCATTGGTATAACATACAATATTGATATTAAATATACGTTTCATTAGGTTTGTCTGTGAGGAGTGTTTGTTGGCGAGGTGACCACATTTTAGTTGGAACACAAGACAGTGAAATTTTTGAAATTGTGGTGCATGAAAGAAACAAACCTTTCCTAATTATGCAAGGGCATTGTGAAGGTGAACTTTGGGCGCTCGCTGTTCATCCTACTAAACCTTTGGCCGTGACTGGAAGTGATGATCGTTCAGTCAGGTAAGCAAATTATAAAGTAATTGTATAGACTGGAATCTGTCCTTAAATAAACTTAAAAAAACACTTAAAGCTTAGAATTAAATTTTATGGCTTACAGTATATCAAATGAACATAATTAATAAGTATTTCAAATTATAGAATTTATAACCATTAGAAAGATTTTGATTTTTTTCTCTTGAAAATATCTAGCATTTGCAGCTGGAGGTATGGCTCAGTGATAGAGAACTTGTCTAGCATATGTGAGGCACTTGCTTCAATTTTCAGCACCACATATAAATAAAAATAATGGTCCATCGGCAACTAAAAATTATATATCTAGCATTTGTTCCATATTAGGATATATAGAGCTACATATATCATTTTAACAGCCATATGATATTCTACTGTATGAATATACTCTAATTTATTCAACGAGTTCATTATTGTTAGCAGTTTACTTTCTTCTAGTTTTGTGTACTTAATAAATGCAGTGTTTGCAACAAATATCATACATTTGTCATTTTGTACATATATAAATGTCTCTATGATAAATTCTTAATGTTCAAAGGATATGTGCAATTTAAATTTGATAAATGCCTTACATAGAGGCAGCAAAACTTTACACACTTACCAATATATAACAGTGCCTGTTTTCCCACACCCTTGCCAGCACTAATTATTTCTGAAAAGGTGGAAAAATAGATTTGAAAATACATATTTCTTTCATATTGAGAAATGTTGAGTATGTTTATGTTTAAAGGCCATTTGTATTCCCTTTTCTGTGACCTATTTAAGCTCTTTGCCTATTTTAATTAGTTCACTAGTTTTTTTCTCTAATTGACTTGATTCTCAGCACCGCATATAAACAAATAAAATAAAGGTCTATCAACAACTAAAAAAAAAGAACATAACTCCAAACGTCATTATAATTTTTTCACACAGCATTCCTTTAACATAATAAAATATTTAATGTAGGAATTCTGATTGTCTCATGTAAATTTTATTTTTTCTTAGAATTAGGATCCAAATAAAGTCTATATCTTGCAATTATTGATATGTCTGTTAAGTCTCTTATTCAATAGCTTTTTTTCCTTTCATTTACCCCCTTTCTTACAGTTCATTTGTTAAGAAAGACTTTACTCTGTAGAGTTTTCCATGTTCTAGGTTTGGCTAATTGCAGACCCAGAGAATACTTTAACACATTCTCTATTCCCTGTGTCCTATAAACTGATAGGTAGATCTAGAGGTCTGATGAAATGCAGTTATGAATTTTTACCAAGAATATTTCCTAGGTAGCGAAAACTAGCTCTCCTCTGATGGTATGTAATATATAGTCTTTTTTTCTTTTTCTCCTCCCCCTCCTTCTCTTCTTCTTCCTCATCCTCCTCCATTTTTGGTATTAGGAAGGATTGATGGGCATTGTTGAGATCAATGTTGCTCAACCTTTTTTTCACTGTTACTTTCCCAGTGAAACTTTAGACTTTAAAAAAAAAAATTTCAACCTTTCTCTGTGAAATTTCAATACCAAAACTAACTACGTATCTGTTTTTATATTGTGGCCATTTATAGGAGTATAAAACATTGTAATTAGATTTTTCACACCTAATAACTCATTTTTACTTTTTGGAGGTAATAGTTCCTCTATTGAGAATTTTTGGAATATTTGCGTATACATAATGAGATACCTTGAGAATGGAACCCATGTCTAAATATTACCAAAAGCTTCATCCTTATCCCTGATGCCAATACAAATAACAAGGACAAGGTTTTGAGGAAAAGGAAAGAGTTTTATTAATTTGCTTGAAAATAAGGAGAGTTGCAACCTAAAAAGCTACTGCCCCCCTTGTAAAAGGGAACAAAGAGCTTTTTAAATGGAAATTCTGGATGTACCTATAAAAGGGTACACACAAATCATTTTTACATGGTAGCCTGGAGTTAGCCATTGCTCAGACCTACTGGCACCAGTTTCCAGGTCTGCAAATCTTGCTGGCACACATTCCTTCATTCTTGTGTTCAGTAAGCTGGAGGACACTGTAACATCCTAAGATGGGAAGAATATTCATCTTGCTTCTTTGTGTTTGGGGCAGGTGAGAAGGAGAAGAGGAAGAAAAAGAAGTGGGAAAACAACAAAAACACAGTTTTAAAATAAGTCTCCATTGAAGGAGCAGCAAGGTTCATACACAAAGTGTGAAGTAGACCCTGTTACATCAAAATTAATTGTTTCATGTACACATATACATATAGCCTGATGGTAATTTTTTTTTTTTTTGGTAGTGCTGGTGCTTGAACCCAGGGCCTTGTGCATGTGAGGCAAGCACTCTACCAGCTGAGCTGTATCCTGATGGTAATTTTTTTTTAAAAAAAATATTTTTAGTTGTAGATGGACACATTATTTTTATTTTTATGTAGTGCTGAGGATCGAACACAGTGCCTCACATGTGTGAGGCAAGCACTCTACCACTGAGCTACAACCCTAGCCCTAGTAATTTTATATAGTATTTTTACTACACTTGCATTGTGAGCATCACTTGAGGTCATATATGGAAGTTTTCAGTGTCATTTCAGATTTTGGAATTGTGGATTAGGGTTGTTCATCCTATTATTCTTCCTGCACATTAGTGGTATTTTTGTTGTTGTTTCTTTGTTTTTTGAGATGAGATCTTGCTGTATTACTCAGGTTGGTCTCAAACTCCTGAGCTCAAGTGATCCTCTAGCCTCCGCTTCTGGAGTAGCTGGGGCTACAGGCATGTGCTACCACATCTGGTTTACATTAATGCCTTTGTTTTTTAGGTCTAACCATTCATGTGTGTAAAGTTTTCTTTGGTTTAAATGGTGGAGTGGGCATCCAGACTGATTATTGATAACTACTAATGTGTCTTTACAATATACTACTCAACCATGCCATTTACTCTCATTATGCTAGTCTATTTTATGGGGATGGACGGTGCCATAGCTCTGTTGAAACTTGCTATATGGGCTGCCCTTTATCCATGTGCTTTGCAGGAACTATTTCTTTTTAAATATTTATTTTTTAATTATAGTTGAACACAATACCTTTATTTCACTTATTTTTTTTTATTGTTGGTCGTTCAAAACATTACATAGTTCTTTTTTTTTTATTGGTCGTTCATAACATTACATAGTTCTTAATACATCATATTTCACAGTTTGATTCAAGTGGGTTATGAACTCCCAATTTTACCCCGTATACARATTGCTGTATCACATCAGTTACCCTTCCATTGATTGACAWATTGCCTTTCTAGTGTCTGATGTATTCTGCTGTCTGTCCTATTCTCTACTATCCCCCCTCCCCTCCCCTTTTCTCTCTCTACCCCTTCTACTGTAAATCATTTCTTCGATTTGTATTATCTTGTCTTACCCCTCCTTTCCTCTTATATGTCATTTTGTATAACCCTGAGGATCGCCTTCCATTTCCATGCGGTTTCCCTTCTCACTCTCTTTCCCTCCCACCTCTCATCCCTGTTAATGTAAATCTTCTTCTCAAACTATCGTCCCTACCCTGTCCTTGTTTACTCACCTTATATCAAAGGGGTCATTTGGTATTTATTTTTTAAAGATTGACTAGCTTCACTTAGCATAATCTGCTSTAATGCCATCCATTTCCCTCCAAATTCTATGATTTTGTCATTTTTTAATGCAGAGTAATACTCCATTGTGTATAAATGCCACATGTTTTTTATCCATTCATCTATTGAAGGGCATCTAGGCTGATTCCACAATCTTGCTATCGTGAATTGTGCTGCTATGAACATTGATGTAGCAGTGTCCCTGTAGCATGCTCTTATTAGGTCTTTAGGGAATAGACCGAGAAGGGGAATAGCTGGGTCAAATGGTGGTTCCATTCCCAGCTTTCCAAGAAATCTCCATACTGCTTTCCAAATTGGCTGCACCAATTTGCAGTCCCACCAGCAATGAACAAGAGTGCCCTTTTCCCCGCATCCTCTCCAGCACTTATTATTGTTTGACTTTCTAATGGCTGCCAATCTTACTGGGGTGAGATGGTATCTTAGGGTRGTTTTGATTTGCATTTCTCTGACTGCTAGCGATGGTGAGCATTTTTTCATGTACTTRTTGATTGATTGTATGTCCTCCTCTGAGAAGTGTCTGTTCAGGTCCTTGGCCCATTTATTGATTGGGTTATTTGTTATCTTATTGTCTAATTTTTTGAGTTCTTTGTATATTCTGGTTATTAGGGCTCTATCTGAAGTGTGTGGAGTAAAGATTTGTTCCGAGGATGTAGGCTCCCTGTTTATCTCTCTTGTTGTTTCTTTTGCTGAGAAAAAACTTTTTAGTTTGAGTAAGTCCCATTTGTTGATTCTAGTTGTTAACTTTTGCGCTATGGGTGTCCTATTGAGGAATTTGGAGCCCGATCCCACAGTATGTAGATCATAACCTACTTTTTCTTCTATCAGATGCCGTGTCTCTGATTTAATATCAAGCTCCTTGATCCATTTTGAGTTAACTTTTGTGCATGGCGAGAGATAGGGATTCAGATTCATTTTGATGCAAATGGATTTCCAGTTTTCCCAGCACCATTTGCCCAGGGTCTCGCACGTTTGAGGTGAGCCCTCTACCGCTGAGCCACAATCCCAGTCCCTAGGAACTGTTTTAATAGTTTCTTTCCTTATGGAACTGCTATTACCAGCTGCTGTATAGTTGCTGAAAAAAGGGCAATTGGTCCTTTAGAAAGTAATTGTTCATATTTCTGTTTCTATTATTGGTGACAATTTGTTTGGAAAGGATTCTTCTAATGAAAACCACCAGAGATGCTCATTAAAGTGTAAATTGCCTTGGAAGGCTTTAAAAAACTGGCAAGATAGTAAGGAACTGTTCAAACATTTTATAAAACAAAATGAAAATTTAGGAGCATCAAAGAGCCAAAGTCACTTTTGCCCTGAGGGCATTTTTTCACTTGCATAAACTTGAACTTTGTTTATGGCTTTCTCTTGTGGTACTTTCTCTTGAGATCTTGAGTACAGTAAAATTTTATTGTAATTTTTTTTTTCTTTTTACCCAGGGACCCCAGCCAGAGGCTTGACTCTGGGAGTCCCAACAGACCGGTTTCAGCCACTGGCCACATCTAATTAACAAAGAGAAAAATGATGATGAAACAAGAAATGAAATGTATATAGGAGGGTAGTCCTATATGCATTACCAGAACTATAGATTAAGCATATTTAATCTATCTGTCTGTCTGTCTGTCTGTTTATAGCAGATGCAGATTTGTGTGGGAATGGAGATCTCACTTCTTGTTTTAACTTTTGATGCTAATTATTATTTGCATAGCATTATTTGTTATCCAAATTACTTTAGCACAGAAGTTTCACATATAAGTACTGCTCTTGTGTTATAATTGTGTTGAATTTATTAAAAACAATATCAAGTCTGTATCAAAAGCTAATTTTTAAAGCTGTTCAGTGTTTTATAATTGTGCCTGAGAACAATTCTTTTGAGAGCATTTCTTTGGTTTAGAAAAATTTTAGTTTTGGGTCTGAGACGTAACAGTAAAATTTTATTGTATTTTTTTTTTTTTTTTTTTTACCCAGGGACTCCAGCCAGAGGCTTGACTCTGTGAGTCCCAACAGACGAGTTTCAGCCACTGGCCACATCTTATTAGCAAACAGAAAAATGACGATGAAACAAGAAATGAATTTATTTTTGGTTTGTCTAAAAACCAGCAAAACAACTGCTCTAGAAATTTGTATTCCCTATACTGACAACAGTTTTAGGATCATATAGGGAGAGAATGAAAAGGGAGAGGCAAAAAGTATGCATATGCGTAGGAAGTCTGGCTCTGCCCATCCCTTAGCTCTGGATTTTGGGGGCTTGATATGAACTGGGAAGGAAAAAACAACATATTAGGACAAAATGTCAGGACAGTGTCTGGGTACTTCTTCAGATTCCCAATTTTAATGGTGCCTATTACAGATGTCACAAGAAGGCAGCCAGGTTGTAGGCCCTCACCTGACAATGAACCTGCTAGCACCTTGACTGTGGACTTCCCAGGCCACAGAACTTCTGGGTGATTGATTGTTTAAGCCACCCAGACTATAGTAGTCTGTTACTGAGGCCCAAACTAAGACACAGGTAAAGGAGGAAAAACACTCCTCTTGTTCTTGATACAGAACATTATCAAAGTTTACAATTAAATCCCTGGTTCTCTCCACAGATGTTATTGATTTTGTTTTACTGGTGTGTTACTTAAGCAATCAAAAAAGTAAAAAGAATAAATAAAAATAAAGAGACTCACCTGTGGAGCTGAAGCAGCCATGGGGGTGCATGGCACCAGTTCTTGGGATCCTCAGAAATAAACTCATGAGAATCACACAGGAACAAGCAGAAGTTTATTAGAAAGGGTGAGAGTACAGATGTTCACAGGCACTAAAGGGACCACTTCCAGGGAGGACAAAAATTGAGATTTTTTAAGGACTTTTGTTCTGATTTTATTCTCTTGTACCCTCTTAAGTGGTATATTACCCCTTTGTTTAGCCCTCAGAAAGTTTATTTTGTTGAGGGTTGTGATGACCTAGTCACAGGGGTGGGTGTGACATGATTTTAGTGATAACCTTTGACAAGGAGTGGGGGGGTCATGAAGATCTAGTCGTGATGAATAGGTATGATATATCTTGAAACATAGTTTGCTTAACAGTTATAATAAACTATGGCTGGAGGAGTTTTGGCATACCACCTCCCATTTTCCAGAAGCTTGTTTGCTTTGAGAAGGTTCCCTGTAATACCCAGTCCTATAATTCATGGACCTTCTGGTGCACATGTCTGATTTCCTCCCTCTAAGTTACAACCCTTCATTGTCCTTCCTCCTATTACCTGCTCATGGCTAAATTATCTGTCTAACATTATCACTGCTAAGCCATCAAACAGCTATGTGGTAGTATAAGTGAGGATTTTTCAGCTTCTATTTTTGAGAAAAATTCATAGCACTAAAAACATATCTACAAGAGCAAGTGAAGTTTACCATTAACACTTTTGGTACAAAAACACATGGAAGAGTTTTTTAAAAGTTTTTTTTTCTTGCAATGTATCTGCTGAAGAATAATATAGTAAATAACCACAAACTTTAAATACTTTATATTTTCAGAATCTTCATGAATTTATTTAAGCCATTTTTTTCCATATTTTTACCACCATCAACTACAATTCCTTTTAGTAGATTCCAGTTTAGGTTGTATTGAATTAATGTTTTCTCAGCATTTTTGAAAATATTCTTGCCTATAGTTCTATGCAGACTATTCATAGTAGCTAACAATTCTTTAGTCATATTAAATTTGGCATTGACTTCTCAAATAAACAAGTGGGCAAAATTGGTAACATCTGTTAACTTATCCAGATTCAAGGAAAAACTATTCAGTTTTTAAATTAATTATTGACACATTCCCTGTATTCTTAACCCTTTGAGCTACTGTTCTTGTGAAAAAAGGCTAAATTTTCACTTACTGTATTTTCTCTGGACACAATTCTTCTGCTGCTGCATCCCACAATTATTTACTTCACTCATCACTAATGAACAGCTTTCCTTTCTTGACTAACAAATAAGCCATTATTTGAAACTTAACTTTTGTGGGGACCTCATTTCAAATTTTAGATTTGCAAAGATATTCTTTCTGATGAGAGATTTTGTTCTAAATTTTATACTAATTTGACTATTGTTTTCCCATTAGTTGAAAGTATTATGATGAGTGTTCAATCTGGTAATATTAATTTGTTTGCTTCTAACAGCTACAGTGTTACATAATAAACACTATTACTTATAAAATTACATAATAAACACAGTGCTTTGCTATCTAATCAACAGTATCATTTGTAATCCATTGTTCCTTAAAAATGCAACATTCAGGGGCTGGAGATGTAGCTCAGTGGTGGGGCACTTGCCTGGCATGTGTGGGGGACTGGGTTCCAGTCTCAGCACCACATAAAAATCAACCATTGTCAATCAATCAAATAAAGGTGTCCATCTACAACTAAACTTTTTTTTTTTTTTAAATGCAACATTCAAAATTACTTTCTTTCCACTTGTCTCAACATGATAGATATGCACTATGGTAATAAAAATAATAAAATGTTGCCATGTAGTAGACATTGCACTTGAAATTCTCTCAAGTTATGATTGTACCTGCAATTTGTAGTGCACCGAGTAGTACAAAGTGATGTGTCTTTCTTTTTTTGCAACGTCTACATTCTGCCTCTGTAGTGATATGTAAGTCATAGACAATATGTAATAACTGATCATGACTGTTTCTATAAGACTTTATTTATAGGCACTGTAATGTAGGTTTTATATATTTTCTTGTGTTTCAGAATTTTGTCTTTTTAAATTTTTTTTTAATCATTAAAAATGTAAAATCCATTCTTAGCTCTCAGACTATACAAAAATAGGTAAAGGCGGCCTGGTTTGTTCCACAGGCTGTGATTTGCTGACATCTGTGGTAAGAGAGTAGGAATTCTGCAGCAAATACAGTACTTAATGATAAAACATTGAAACTTTAACTTTGAAGTCAGAAAAAAGACAATGGTGCCCACTTTCACTATTCCATTCAGCTGTGGACTAGATGTCTGCATCAGCACAGTAAGTTCAAATAGAGAGGGAAGATGGCAGATTGAGGGAAATGGAGAGATAGGAAGGAGGAAGGCAGAGGAATTAGAAAGGAAGAAACAAATGTCATTATGAGCAATATGATTATATATGTAGAGAAATTCAGAGGAAAATGCAGACCAATTATTGGAATTGGTTATTAAAATAATGTAGAAAAATAATTTTTATTTAAACAACACATTTTTAAAAAGAATACTGCTATAAAAACTTTTTAAAAACTATTTAGTTTTAGTGATATTTTTCAGACCTTTTGGGGTAGATACCTATTCATTAAGTTGTAGCCTTTGTTTCATAATATATGCAGTTAAAACTCCTAAACATTCTCCTCATTACTATTCTAGCTGTATTCCACAAATTTTGATGTGAAAAAATTTATTATGACTTATTTAAAAAATTAACTATTTTTCATTAGTATTTTAGATTAGTATTTTGTCTTTTGAAAGTATAGTCCTCATTTTTCAAACAATACCTTTTTCATTGTTGATTTCTACCATGTAATCTAAAACAGATTTTGAATTGAATATTTTTAAGTGTTGCACTTAAATTTAAAAGGCTATATATGCAATTTAAGGTTATGTATAGACATCTTTATATACAGAGAAAGAGAATTGGTTATTTTTGGTCATTTACAGTTCATCTACCTAAAATGAATGATTAGGACAAATTAATATCATTTTTTAAGAACAAAAAATTCTATCAACCTCTGTCATTTTAAGCATGAACAATATTCCTGTTTTCACATAAGAATTTCTTGCACAAAGCAAAGACAATTGAAATATCTAGAGAGCTGGGGGATGTGATACTCAATGGTTGAGTTCTTGCTTAGCATGCACAAGGCTTGGGTTAGCCATCACCAGCTCCCCCACACACACAGAAAGAAAAGTCTAGATTCATATTACTTAAAGTGAGATGATTATTTTAACCAATTTTTTTCATAGTCTATCATTATTTTAAAGTACACATTAATTAACTACTATTTTAAATTTTAAATCAAATGTTACAGGATTTGGAGCCTAGTAGATCATGCATTAATAGCAAGATGTAATATGGAGGAACCAATTCGTTGTGCAGCTGTAAACGTAGATGGAATCCATCTTGCCCTTGGAATGAAGGATGGCTCATTTACTGTTCTTAGAGTAAGGTATGGTATTAGAGCAGAAATGGAAACAGTAATTTTGTGTCCGTTGAGAGAGAATATTTTACATTGATTTTATTTATCCTTTCTTTCACACTTCTTGTTAACATATGTTTCAGATATTAGTTTCATTAAATATAAAATATATTTATAAAAAGAAATTTGTCGAAAACTAAATAAATTGAAAATCTTTGGGAGGTTAAGAATGCTTAACAGATTTTTGGCTGAAATTTTGAGCTATAAAGTTTGGGTCTTGACTTCTTTCTTTCTTTGGTAGTATTGATTTTCAATAATGATTCCCTACCATTGAACAACCCCGAGGCTGTGAAAATGGGTGAATAGTTTTTGTTGTTGTTGTTACTTACAGCTTTATGGTCCAGAAAAAAAAATGCTCTTCGTTGGATAATTAGAAATTTTAAATAATTTGTTAAAGCATTTTACATGTTGTATTGAATTATAGGTAGATACATTTAATTTGAATTCTATGTAGACATAAGAAAAATTCCCCTAGATACACATATGTTGGCAAGGGTAAGTCTTTACGAAATCTTTCTGTGCTAGTTCAATGATCTTCTACCCAGCTATACAATTCAGAAACCATTAGTTCACTTTTCTCTGCCTTTCTTATTCTAGAGAGTCTGTTTCTGAATAGTCCTTATATTAATCTTCTTTCCATTCTCACCATTGTGCCCTTGTGTCATCTCTGAACTGAGTTGGTGGAATAGCCTCTTGTTTTTCTTCCCTCTAGACCTTTATTCCCTCTACAGTGATAGGATTCCTTTTAAAACACATTTGTTTACATTCTTCCTCTCTCCAAAGTATGTGAAAGACTTTGTGCTGTCCTTAGAATGAAGTTTCTAGTCCTTAACATGATTTTGCCTCTGTCTTCAACCTGTTTCTCTACATCTAGGACTCTTTCCTTCATCTGTACAAAACTTCTTTCATTTCTTCAGATGTATCGTGTTCTTTTATACATCTGAGCTTCTATGCATGCTGATTCCTCTTTCTGCAATAGATTTTACAATGAGACATGCTACAGTTTTTCTTTCAAATTATTTTTATTGTGGTAAAATATACATAATTTAAATTTAACTTTCAGACATTTTTAAAATGTGTGATTCAGTGGCATTAATAACATCACATTATGCTACTATTGCCATCATCCATCTCCAAAATGTTTCTTCTTTCTGTCGGATTCATCGTGACATAACTGCAGTCACCCCCAATTATAATTGTCATGATTGCCTCCAGGGTAATCCCAGCTGATGTTTCCTGCATAATTTATCAGCATACTATAAATAGACAAAACCTATAGAATGTTATGTGTGGAGCTTTAAAATCAAACCCTGGCACCAGAAGTGTGCCTTGCTCTTTGGTATTAGCTTAGGATAACCAGGTACATTCTGGCTTGGACGAAGTAATTTTTGTTCTAAACAATGTATGTGCCTCTCTTTCTGGCCCAAATTGCAGGATCTATTTTGTTTTGCTGCTGCCTAGGACCATGCTTCTGTGACTAAGTCCCCCAATAAATCACACTCTGTGCAATCCTAGATCTGTCTGCCTCTCTTTCTTCAGCTTCACTGCACCTTGATGCCTGTTCTCACACACATACTGGGTTGTCCTGGAACATTTCCAGACAGAAACTCATAAACAACAACTCTTCAACAACCACCACTCAGTTTTCTGTCTCTAAGAAAGATAGAACATGACTATTCTAGGTACCTTTGATAAGTGGAATTTTTAAACTAGGTTTTTAAACTGCAATTTAAGTATATAAAATTTAAATGTTAATTAGTACTTTTCCCCATATCCCTATAAATATCTCATGTTGCCTTTTTTTTTTTTTTTTTTTGGTACCAGGGATTGAACCACCGAGCCACACCCCCAGACCTTTTTCATGTTTTATTAGAGACAGAGTCTCACTGAGTTGCTTAAGGCCTTGCTAAGTTGCCAACACTGTCTTTGAACTCATAGTCCTCCTGCCTCAGCCTCCTGAATCACTGGGATTACAGGAATGCACGACTGCAACTGGTGTGTTGCCTTATTTTATCATATCAAAATAGCTTCTTAAACTGAGATAAAAGACTATGAGGCCAGGCACGGTGGCACAGGCCTGTAATCTAGGCAGCCTGGGAGACTAAAGCAGGAGGATCTCAAGTTCAGAGCCAGTCTCAGCAAAAGTGAAGCTCTAAGCAACTCATTGAGACCTTGTCTCTAAATAAAATACAAAATAAGGTTGGGAATGTGGCTCAGTGGTTGAGTGCCCCTAAGTTTAATCTCCTGTATTTCTCTCCTCCCCAAAAAAAGACTATGAAACTTTCCTGTTAGGTTCTCAGTTCTAAGTTTGAAATTGATTTGATCATTAATTCTAGAATCTTTCTGACTATAATCATCTAAGATTAGACATTTATTCTTCTTCTCATTGGTTAATTTATTTGGAGGCTTGTATTTAGTCTTTCAAGTTAGAAATCATAAATAGAAATACTAGACACTATGAGTAATATCTGTGATCAACTTTATTTTTCCTTATTTTGAAATAACAAAGTATTAGAAGTATTGGAATTGGAGTAGAATGCTAAATTATAGAAGCTTTACAAGAATTTAAAATGTATATAAAAATTAGAATTCCTATCATATAGCTGATAAGCTATGGTATGTATTAAAAAGTAGTGATTTTTAATAATTTATACATTAATTGCCCTTTCAGTTACACATTTACTTGTCCTTTCAGTTATTGTATGCAGCAAACTGGGTGAATAAGTTCTTATCTCTATTTAAGGTTGTAGTTTCACAACTGAATCCAATATTGTTATCAGGATCCTTGGGATACTTATTTTTATTTATTTATTTATTTTTTAGTTCTCGGCGGACACAACATTTGTTGGTATGTGGTGCTGAGGATCGAACCCGGGCCACACGCATGCCAGGCGAGTGCGCTACCGCTTGAGCCACATCCCCAGCCCGGGATGCTTATTTTAACTGTTAAATGCCTTAACCACAGAATTGTAACTCACAAAATCCTAAATTTACCAAGTCATTATGCTTGGTTTGCTTTTTATTCTCCATTTGATAAAGCAGGATTCATGAATACAGCTGTACTCACAGGAATATTTACGTTATGATTGGAGAAATATAGAATAGATTAGAATCTGACATACTAATTTTCCTCCTTTGTAGTGCTGGAAAGAGAATGCATGCTAGTTAAGAGCTCTATTGGGGCTGTGGTTGTGGCTCAGTGGTAGAGCGCTTACCTAGAATGTGTGAGGCACTGCGTTCAATCGCTGGTACCACATAAAAATAAAAACAAATAAAATAAATGTATCATGTCCATCTACAACTAAATATATATATATATATATATAAGTATATATATATATATATATATTTAAAAGAGCTCTATCATTGAGTTGAGTTTTGTGCAAGGTTAGACCAGAGACCCTACACCTAAAGGAAGAAGAAGTAGGCCCAAATCTTCATCATGTCAGCTTAGGACCTGACTTCTTTAACAAGACTCTTAAATTGCAAGAAATAAAATCAAGAATCAATAAGTAGGATGGGTTCAAACTAAAAAACTTCTTCTCAGCAAAGGAAACAATAATGTGAAGAGAGAGCCTACAGAATAAGAGAAAATCTTTACCACATGCACATCAGATAAAGCATTAATCTCCAGGATATATAAAGAACTCAAAAAACTTAACATCAGAAAACAAATAATGCAGTCACTAAAGGGGTTGAAAAACTGAACAGACACTTCTCACAAGACATATAATCAATAAACAAATATATGAAAAATGTTCAACTTCTCTAACAGAGAGATGCAAATCAAAACTACAATAAGATTTTCATCTCACTCCAGTCAGAATGGCAATTATCAAGAATACAAGCAACAATAAATATTGGCGAGGATTGGGGAGAAAAGGTACACTCATACATTGCAAATTGGTACAACCACTCTGGAAAGCAGTTTGGAGATTCCTCAGAAAACTTGGAATGATACCACCATTTGACCCAACTATCCCACTCCTCAGTTTATACCCAAAGGACTTAAAATAAGCATACTGCAATGATGCAGCCACATGAATGCTTATAGCAGCTCAACTCACAATAGCCAAACTATGGAACCAACCTAGGTGCCCTTCAACAGATAAATGGATAAAGAAACTGTAGTATCAATAAATGGGCCAAGGACATGAGCAGACACTTCTCAGAAGAGGATGTTCAATCAATAAACAAATATATGAAAAAATGTTCATCTCTAGCAATTAGAGAAATACAAATCAAAACTACTCTAAGATACCATCTCACTCCAGTCAGAATGGCAACTATTATGAAGACAAACAACAATAAGTGTTGTCGAGGATGTAGGGAAAAAGGCACACTCATATATTACTGATGGGACTGCAAATTGGTGCAATCAATGTGGAAAGCAGTATGGAGATTCCTTGGAAAACTTGGAATAGAACCACCATTTGCCCCAGCTATCCCTCTCCTCGGTCAATACCCAAAGGACTTAAAAACAGCTTACTACAGGGACACATCCACATCAATGTTTATAGCAGCACAATTCACAATAACTAAACTGTGGAACCAACCTAGATGCCCTTCAGTAGATAAATGGATTTAAAAAATTGGCATATATACACAATGGAATATTGCTTAGCAATAAAAAAGAATAAAATCATAGCATTTGCAGGTAAATGGATGGCATTGGAGAAGATAATGCTAAGTGAAGTTAGCCAATCCCCCCCAAAAAAAACAAATGCTGAATGTTTTCTCTGATATAAGGTGACTGACTCATAGTGGGGTAGGGAGAGGGAGCATTGAAGGAATAGACGAATTCTAGATAGGGCAGTGGGGGGAAGGGAAGGGGCAGGGGATTAGCAATGATGGAATGTGGAATGTGATGGACTTCATTATCCAAAGTACATGTAGGAAGACATGAGTTAGTGTGAACATACTTTATATACAAACACATATATGAAACATTGTGTTCTGTATGTGTAATA